ACTAGTTGGTGCCTAACCCACTTCTGTATAGTTCCTTTCAAAGCTCAGGGCTCCAGGATTATGTTCTGTATCTCTGTCAATTGTTTTTTCTTTTCTTTGTTGAAGAGGGTCTGTGTCACTTCTCTGCCTATTCCTCCATCTTTGATTTATCCAGGTACAGACTCTTGTCCCAACTCCCAAGTTTCCTAAAGCAGATGGGCCTTAGTTGGACCCTGCCTCTGCCTAGCACTTGGGCTTTATGCCTCAGTTTCTCATCACAGTTCTGGGTGACATCACAGCTTCAGGGTGCTGACTGAGGGAGTGGGAACGTAGGTGCAGCATCGCTATCCAGTGGGACCCGTCCACAGCACAGGCTGCTGCTACTGGCCTCGTTCAAAGGGCTCTGGCTTGGCCCCCTGTGATTCTGAGGGTGGTCTGTCCAGGGAGAAGCTTTACTGTCCCCCTCCACTGGGCAGGTGGGTTCAGAGGCCTGGAGAGGGACTGCTGGTGCCGCGCTGGCCCAGGATGACCGAGGCTGTGCTCATCTGGGGGCTGGGGAACTGCTAGCCTTTGTGAAATCCCAGTTTCTTACCATGTGGCCCTCAGAATCCTTTGGGGGGGGGGTGGAAACTTCCCTTGCCTCACCCCCCACCCCCCATGAGGCAAACTCTGGGGTGAGGCCAAGGATCCTGTATTTGAAAGTCACTTGAGGGTGACTGAGGCTGACGAGGTCTGCAGGCCACGGAGGTGGTGCTCATTCCTCTCAACACTGGGCCAGGGACTCTAGGTGAGGTGTGGCCTATGGACCACACCTCCGCTCACCTGGGAGTCTGTTGGAAAGGCAGGTGGGATTCTCAGGGCAGGGCAGGAGCAGGGGTCCTCAGAGGCTTCCCAATGATTCTCAGGCAGCCCAGGTTGGACCAGTGCCCGGCCAGAGTCTTGCTGATGGCAAGCATTTGGCACCAGGACAGAGGCCTCAGGACATCTGTGTCTGAGCATCCAGGCAGGTGACGCCAGCCTTGCCTCTCTGCTCACAGCTCCCTTCCTCCCCAGGGTCCCAAGTGATGGTGGCTGACATGCTGGTGGGGGAGTTAGTGGAGGCCCGTGCCACTGGTTAGCACAGGGAGCCACCCTGCGCCACCCCGAGGACCTGACCCCTCCCTGAGAGGAAGCATGTCAAAGAAGGGCCGGGGCAAGGGCGAGAAGCCTGAGATGGAGCCGGATGCTGTGCAGATGGCCAACGAGGAGCTGCGGGCCCGGCTGACCAGCCTGCAGATCGAGTTCCAGCAGGAGAAGAGCAAGGTGAGCAGACAGGGGCGGGCCTGGACGGGGTGCGGTGCCGGCCGGCCCGGTGCTGCCGGGATGGGACTGTGTGTGTGTGGCAAAGGCTGACCCTCATTGAGATGGGCCTGCCCTCACATGTACAGGGACTGCCCAGTGTGCGTCCTGCCCCTGTGGCCACCACCTGCTGGGGGGGATGACGGTGCAGCAACGGTGTGCCAGGGTTGGCTGTGGAATGAGCTGTGGTCACCTCTAGGGCAGTGTGGACTCAGAGGTGGTCAGCACAACATGGGTCCGGGGCCAGGCACTTGTGGGGCCCAGGTAGAGTGCAGCCATTGGCACAGCCCCTCGTGGGGGTGGGGGTGCAGGCTTCCTGACCCACAGGCCTGGGGTCACCCAGAGATAGGCCTCTGCTGGTGGCACCATCCAGCCAGGGACTTTGTCTCAGGCTCTTGCCCGTGACTCGGTTGACCTAATGGCCCGGTGTGAGGCTAGGCTTGAGACCAGTACCAGGCACATGATGGGCCCAGCCGGCACCCAGGGTGTGGCCACTGCTCCATCCATGTTGTTGCATGCCTGATGTGGGTCCGAGAGGCCAGCTGGAGGCCCAACCGTGCTGGGCAGGAGAGGGCCTGGGGGTCGGGTCTTTCACGGGGGCCCAGGAGGCCGAGGTCCAGCTGGTGTGTGGGTTAGACACCTGGAGGTGCCCCAGGCCCCCAGCAATGGCAGTGGGCTGTTCATCAGGCAGCTGTTCCAACGGGAGCTGAGGTGGGCAGCAGCTAGACTGCAGGGCAGGGGTCCGTGTGGGGGACGCCTGAGCCCCAGCCCTCTCCCACCCAGGGGGCAGCCAGGCAGTTTTTGATTCTCATTGAATTGATTTTTAATTTCTTTCTGTTTGTGATGACTGATACTGATTATTTCCGTTTCTAAAAACCACAGACTTTGTTTAAATAAGAGAGCACATGCATTTACAGAAAAGGCTAAAGAAAAGAAACAACAGTGGCAGTCATCTGAGTGGGGCCCAAGAGGGGGCCAGGGGTGTGGGAGGCCCTGGGTTGGTGGGGACAGGGCCTGCTGACCCATCCTTGACCTCACCCTGACCCCACTGCTGACCCCTGAGCTGACTCTGACCTGCGCCCACCTCCATGATTCCACCATTGACCCCACCTCTGCCCGCTGTCCTACACCTTGATCCCTCCCTCCCATGCCCCCTTTCCTCCTCCTCTGGACAGATGACCACGCCCCTGACCTTTACCCCTGGCTCTGACCCCACCTCTGCTCCCTGATGCTGATCCCAGCCCCGACCCCAATGCTGACTCCTGACCTGGCTCGGAGCCGGTCCCCGACCCCGCCACTGATGCAATCTCTGAGGCTGACCCCACCCCTGACCCTGACCCCTAGGCCGACCCTGCTCCTGACTGACCCTCCCCACGCCGCAGGTGAGCAAACTGCGCGAGCGGCTGCAGGAGGCTCGGCTGGAGCGGGAGCAGGAGCAGCGGCGCCACACGGCCTTCCTGTCCGAGCTGCGCGCCAAGCTGCACGAAGACAAGACGCGCGAGCTGCAGGCGCTGCGCGAGGCGCTCATCCGGCAGCACGAGCAGGAGGCGGCGCGCGCCGCCAAGATCAAGGAGGGCGAGCTGCAGCGGCTGCAGGCCACGGTGACCCTGCTGCGCGATGGCGCGGCGGACAAGGTGAAGACGGCGCTGCTGGCCGAGGCGCGCGAGGAGGCGCGCAGGGCCTTCGACGGCGAGCGCCTGCGGCTGCAGCAGGAGATCCTGGAGCTGAAGGCGGCGCGCCGGCAGGCGGAGGAGGCGCTCAGCACCTGCGTGCAGGCGGACAAGGCCAAGGCGGCCGATTTGCGCGCCGCCTACCAGGCGCACCAGGACGAAGTGCAGCGCACGAAGCGGGAGAGCGAGCGCGACATCCGCCGCCTGGTAGGCGCCCCGCGCGCGCGTCCTCCTCCCGCCCCCGCCGCTCCCCGCTCCCCACCCAGCGCGCAGCTTCCCCAT